ATGTGCTGCACTCCAGGAAACCCCTCAGTCCAGGGCAAACCAAGGCAGCTGGTCACCCTGGCAGAGACAGACACCAAACAAGCAACCAAAAATCATCAAATGATGATAGGTGCTTTGAAGAAAATAGACAATGACAAAGATGACAGTGCACTGAAGAGTGTATTGCTATTTTGCACAGGGATGTCAGAGAAAGCCTCTCTGATATAATGACACTTCAAGAAAGGAGAGAACAAGTCATTCAGGTAAGTGGAGGAAGGGTTACAGGTAGAGTGAATAAAAGCGGTCAATAGCAAATGAAAAGGCCCTAAGGTGGGAGTGTGTTTAGAATGTCTGAGGAATGGCAAGGATGCCTCTGTGGCTGGAAAGGGCTGAGCAAGGAGCAAAAGAGTAAAAGAGAAAAAGTTCAAGTTAAAGAAGCAATTGGGTGATAGCTATAGCATAACCTACCCATCACTTAACTTCTTCTTGATTATTTTAATCCCACAATTCCAACCTACAATAATTTTCCTTTTTTATTATAATGGAGACTCTGTCTTAATTTATTGAAGATCCTCTCTTCTCACATCTTATATTGTATGTGAAAAACACTATTTATCCCATAGCATTGCTTTTGTTTCAATTATTCAACATTTAATTATATTCTACCTGTATTTGCTTTTAGATATCTATATCTTACCTCCCTAAAACTTAAGGATGGATTGATTGAGAGACAGGGTACTAGGATTACAAGGCATGAGCCACTGCACCCAGCTACCTCCCTAAAATTTAGACTTCTTGAGGTCAAGTTCCATATTGAATTGTATTCAACACACAGTATGCAAGCAATAAATACTAATAGATATGACTCTTTAATTTGTGTTTTGTTTATTTTTATGCTCAGAATAAAGAACTCTTACAACTGAACGATAAAAGACAATCCAATTTTTAAATGGGCAAAGGATCTGAATAGACATTTCTCCAAGGAATATATACAAATAGCCAATAGGCACATGAAAAGATGCTCAGTATCACTAGCCATCAAAAAAACACAAATCAAAACCACAATGCAATACCACTCCACTTGTGGGTATGAGATACCACTTCATACCCACTAGGATGGCTATAATCAAAAAGACATAATACCAAGTGTTGCTGAGAATGTGGAGAAACTGAAACACTCATACACTGCTGGTAAGAATGTAAAATGCCACAGCCACTTTTGAAAACAGTTTGGTATTTCCTCAAAAAGTTAAACACAGAATTACCATTTGACCCTGCAATTCCATTCCTCAAAATACATCCAAGATAAATAAAAATATCCACACAACAGTAGTTATAATAGCTAAAACATGGCAACAACCTGCAGGTCCATCAACTGATGAATGGATAAATAAAATGCAGTATATGCACAAGATGTAATTGTATTTGGCAAAAAGAAAATAAAACAGAAATACATGCTTCATTGAAAACAATATGCTAAGTCAAAGAGGCCAGTAACAAAGGACAACATACTGTATGATTCCATTTATATGTAATGTCCAGAATAGGCAAATCCATAGAGACAAACTGCAGATAAGTTGCTACTTTGGGTGGTGGTGGATCAGGGTGGGAAAATAGGGAAGTGACTGCTAATAAGTTTAAGGTTCCTTTTTGGGATTATGACAATGTTCTAAATTTGTGGTGATAGATGTAAGTTGCACAATTCCATGAACATACTAAAAACCATTGAATTACATACTTCAGGTGAATTGTATGGCATATAAATTGTCTCAGTAAAGCTGTTATTTAAAAAAACTTTTGAGCTGTCTCCAGAATGGAAAATGATACTTCACTGGAAATAATGTTAAGCAAAGGCAAACAGCCTTCTGTTGGAAACATTACTATAAAAGATGGATTCAATCAGTGGTTCCAGTAACAGTTCAGAGTAATCATAAAAATAGCCCAGAGAATTTAATATGTTATTGGGCTCCCCAAAGAATACAATTCAGTAGGTCCAGTAATCTGTATTTTTAAAAGGGTTTTCAATTCATTTTAATGTATATCTAGAATTGGGAACCACTGGACCATTAATGTCCTAACTCAATAATTTTATGAGAGTTTATCTTTGCTATCTATGAGATACCTCTCTATCTAGTGTTTTCTATTTATCTGAAAATCTTGAGTTCCTTAATGGAACTCACCTCCCTAAATGAAGAGTTTGAGTTTAGAAAGAGGTGGCCTCATTGGATGGATCACAGCACATCACATATTCCTATTAACCTTATGTGTGTCCTTTACTTAAGCTATCTCAAATCCTCTTTTTTCCAGAAACGATTTGATTTAAATAAATTGAATAAATAAAAGATTACATATATTATATATATTCTCTAAAACTACATTTCTCAAACTGAGATACATTGAAGAGTCCTTTTATCTCAAATATTAATAATATATTTTTGTTTTTAATATATAGGTATATTATAGAATCAAATATAAAATTTTCATGAATTTTTAAGACAAAACCCAGAAACTTCAAAGAAATTCCACATTTGCCACAGGAACTAGTTTAGACTACACTCCCAGGTTCTAAGGGTATATACTCATGCCCTTCTGCAAGGCATACTTCAGGAAAAATCCAAGAAATCTAGGCATTCTGTTCCACTCCATGGGTGATGAAATACCCCTTCATTCAGAACCATATGTAAGCTAGTCAGGTTATTAGTGATTGTGCTCTGAGCACTTCAAGAAGGGGAAATATGTCTGAACTGAATCCAAGAATTAAACCAAAATCTGTTAACAAGTGAGTGAAAAATCCTTCAGAGGCAAGCGACACTCAGAGAAATGTCTGCTGGGGATCAGGCCTTGTAGTTAACCTGTCTAGTGTTTTAATCAGACAACAATAAACATCAAGTGCAACCTCCAGAACTATTTGGACATCGCCCAGCTAGTGGAGAGTACACTCTGGTTGCTTATCTGGGCTTGCTCAGCCCACTGATCCATGAAGAAGCCCTGGGTAGTCTACCCAAGGCCGTAGATGAACTATCACTAAAGAGAAGGTATTCCCCTAGATTTGCAATCTTTCACTTAGATCTAGTGCTTTGATTTTTTAGCTGTTCTTTTTCAGCTAATTTCTCAAAACATTTGTGATAACTTCACTCAGGGACTAACATCTTAAAAGTGGTGTTATAATATCAGGTCTGACACAGAATTATATAAATCTAGGTCAATTTACTCAATATTAAAATAGAAGAGTTGAATAAAATGAATCTTAAGATCCTTTCTAGCATTTAAATTCTACATTTACACAATACTTGCCAATATTAAAGATATGTGCTATGAATTCTAAATGCAATTTCAAAAAAAGAAGTTGTAAACATGACTTTTTTATTCTTTCCATTACGCTGTTTTTTCTTGCATCACCCTAGTTCAAAGCCCTTTCTCCCTCCACTGAAATTTTACAACCATCCTCAATTCTGGTCTTCGATCTCTCCTTATTCCATTATATTGACCACACTGCCATTAGATGATTCTCCCTTCATCATTTCCTTCAATGGCTCCTAGCCCAGCATTCAATGTGCTCCACATTCTTCTCCCAATTTACCTTTCTAACCTTGTCTATCCCTTCCTTATACTGACTTACACTTCAGCAAACTTGTCAGTGCCTTCTGAAATACATTAGACAAATCCTAGCTTCTTCCAGTGTGCTTATGTCATTCCCCCAATGTGCTTATGTCATTCCCCCACCTGAAATACTCTCTGTCATACCTCCCACTTTTGTTCCATTCTTCAAGAATGACTACAAGTCTTGCCTCAACTACAAAGCTTTTTCTGACCACCTTCTTTGAATTCCTGAGGCACTTAGCCTGTAATACATCTTTGGCATCTGGCATATGCTACCCTCCTCTGGGCAGATTTAATACAGAAGAGGTCTGTGGTAAAATTTCTGTGTCATTTTTTTTTCCACGTAAGACTCTCAGCTTTAATACAAGGTGAATATATAACACACAGCAACTAAAGGGGCCATCTTAAACTCAGATTTTTTTTAATTAAAAAAATTACAGCTCATGTGCAATTATTAGAAACTCCACCACAAATCCACCTTACTCTTACCAACAATATTTTTACAGCTATGTTCTAATGTTTGAGCCAATACTTTAGGTTTGGGTTACTACTTCCTGTTTAATACCTTTAAAGGGCAAGAGTTCAAAGTCAGTCATCAAAACTTTTAATTCTAAAACTTGAACAAGACAAAAAATTTCCAGAAAACAAAACTAAGAGTATAGTTTTGAACAACAATAAAACCTCTTCTAGTATAGGTATCACACCAAACTCAAATTTGAGAAGAAATAAAAAGAGACATTTTGTCTGGTCAGAACCATTTAAACAAAATGGCACGTTTTTCTCCATCTGCCATGCAAAACACACAACTTTTACTAAAGCACATGTGCTCCAACAAGTACCACCACCCTTTCCCTAATGGTGAATATTTCTGCTTCAATTCCAGAAATATTTTATTTCAACTATAAAGTTTCTGGTGTTGCTTGATAAAGAACACTTAATCTGGTCTTTACTCTTCTGATAATAATACTGAGATACTGAGATAATGCGGATACAAGTCCAAATTTGCCACTTTCACTTCTATATAAAAACGCCTTCTTGAAGAGCCAAGAAACGCTCTCCTAACGAGCCCTGTAATGAAGTGTTAGTAAACATTAGAAAATTGATTGCAGGCATGAAATACTACGTTAAAACAAAGAAAATGTTTTCAACATTTCTCTTTAAACTGAAGTAAAAATATTTCAACCAATATGCTAGAGACTTTCATTAATTCGCAACACCCTAAAACTAAACAGCAATGAAAAAAAATCTCTTATTTAACTATTTTGGCACATAAAGAGTTCCATCTATTTCACAGGACAGAGAAAAGAGGGGTGGGAAAAATGCAGATGTGTGACAAATCTATCTGTTAAGCAATTGCTGAAAGCCAATTTTGTTTTCCTTTCACCAAAGAAAGATCATTCAAGCAAGTCTGCAGGACTCACCTGCAAAGCTGAGGGGTCTGGCAGGAATTCAACATCCTCTCCAAAGATAAAATCGGGAGGCAGTTCTGGGTATTGGGCATTGAAAATGATATCCCCTGAAATAAAAGAAAATGACAGGTCCTTTTTATTTCCTTTCTAAGTATGAATATTCTGAAGACTGTATCAGAAAAACTTCTAAAACAAATTTACATTAGTTTCAGAAAAACATTTGAAAAGCACTTTCTGGATGATTAATTCTTCAAGTAAACTAATATCTTTTTTTTTTTTTTTTTTTTTTTTGAGACAGGATCTCACTTTGTCACCCAGACTGAAGTACAAAGGTGTCATCTTGACTCACTGCAGCCTCAACCTCCCAGGCTCAAGGGATTCTCCCATCACAGCCCCCCAAGGAGCTGAGACTACAGGAACATGCCACCATGCCCAGCTAGTTTTTGTATTTTTATTAGAGATGGGGTTTCGCCATGTTGTGCAGGCTGGTCTCAAACTCCTGAGCTTAAGCGATCAATCCACCTCAGCCTCCCAAAGTGCTGGAATTATAGGTGCGAGCCACTATCCCAGGTCTGCTATCCTTTTTTAATTTAATATCTACAACATGCAATCAAAAAAGCTTTATCTCCAAGTACACAATGAATGTAAATATCCAAGTAGAAAAGTAGAAGCAGCCACATCCACAATATGTGCTGATTATTTTTACAGGAAATATTACTGTCCAATCACTGCCTGCTAATTAATAAGCCTTTATGAAGACTGATTCTGTATAGACACAGTCCTCGCCTTGCAGAAATTAAACATACATACCTTTGGTATACTGGAAAGAACATTTGGCTTATAGTTCACAAAAACTTAGATTTATATCTACAAGGTCTCCTCATTATTTATCAGCTCAAGTGATCTGGAGCAAGTTTTAACTTCTTTAGACTTCAGTTTCTTCATCAGTAAGAGGGAGATACAATAGTACTAATGTCACAGATTTGTTGTGAGGATTAAAAGAGATGGCACGCCTGGCAGTGTCCAGCATATAGTAAGTTCTCAACATGTGATAATGGGAGTATTACTGTTGTTTTGATACGTAAGACAAATTTACAAAGTCTCATTAGCAAATTTACATTGCAAGTTCTTCTACCTGTTTCTTTTCTGAATCCTTCTGTAGCTCCCTTTTTTTCCTCTGCTCATCCCAAGAATCAGCTATCATTATGCTAATACTAACATGTAAATTAGTTTATCAACCATCTAACACACATATTGAGTTGTAATGTATAAAAATATGTATACTTGTGTACATATACACAACCTCTGTACATGTACATACATACAGCTTTCTCAGTCCAATCATTTTTACTGCTCAAACAATAATAGCCATAAAATTATATCCAAATATAAACATTCAAACTTCAGTTCTCATTTGAGTCCTTAAATCTCTATGCACTAGGCATTTCAATGTCAAACTCAGCAAGTCTAAAACATGATCATGACTGTCCCTTTTCTCACTCCCCTCATTCCCTGATTCCACGCTAAAACTTCAGTGTCATCTTCAACCTTTCATACACCCCGTATACTCTTAGAAAACAAGTCATCTCAATTTTTCCTCCAAAATGTCACTCAGATGGATTTTTCCTACTGTTAACAGCCCCTTCCAGGCCCAGATCACCTAGTCCATACATTCACTCATCCACTCAATAAATATTTGAACTTTGCCATACGTACTATGGTAGGCACTAAAGATCAAACAAACAAACAAACCCTGCTATTAAAAGCTGACAGACTAAAGAAATTCAATCATTATCATACCTTTTAAAATGGTCTCCTAATACAAGCTACCCTCCAGTTCATAATACATATTATCATCAAGTAAATATTCTTAATGTGCTATTTTGTCCCAACAATTCCTAACTCAAGAAACTTAAATGATACTCTACTATCAAATGGAGTAAAAGCAAACATTTCAAAGTGATATCCACCCTTCTCTTTATCTACAAGCCTGTCTTTTCTTCCAGTCAATATGATCTGCTCAATGCCCTCCAAATACTATGACACCAACTACTATAATATCTCTCTCCTTGCTTAGGTCTTACCATCCTTTATGAACCCACTAAATTGTCTCTTGTATGAAGCCTACCCTAATAAATCCAGAACACACAGATCATTGTTACTTCTGAAATTAAAATCCTGATTAGTTATGCCATTCACCTGAGTATTTAGTTGTAAGTAGTCTTATATTGTTTTATTGCTCTATTAATTTTAAAAAATCATAATAAACACAAGCTACCTGTGAGATACTGTGACATGCTATGTCAATACGAAGATAATTATCCTCAAGGAGCTCATGTTTAGTGAGGGATATAAGACATAGACCCAGAACCACAAATACACAGCAATACAAGGTAAGTACATATAATTGAACTTCCTAATTACATTGTAAGCATCCAGAGAACAGACATGTTTTTATACTTGTTTAATGTTTCTGACAGGGCAGAGTACAGTACAAATAGAATATATTCAACAAACACTCAATAAATTAAAGAAATTCTATTCTCTGAACTGAATGTCTAAGTGTTGAAAAAAATCTTCAGTGAAGAATAAGGCATAGCAACAAACATGAAAAAACGCTCAACATCACTCACTATCAGGGAAATGCAAATCAAAACCACAATACAGTTATCATGTTACTCATGCGAGAATGGCCATAATTAAAAGAAACAAAAAAATATTAATAATAGATGTTGGTGGGGATGTGGTAAAAGGGGACACTTTTACACTGCTGGCAGGAATGTAAACTCGTACAACCACTATGGAAAACAGTGTGGCGATTCCTTAAAAGAACTAAAAGTAGAAATACCATTTGATCCACAACCCCACCACTGGGTATCTACCTGGAGGAAAAGGAGTCATTATACTAAAAAGATACTTGCATATGCATGTTTATAGCAGCACAATTCACAATTGCAAAACTATGGAACCAGCCCTAATGCCCATCAGTCAACAGGTGGATAAAGAAATTATAATTACACACACACACACACCCACACACACACCCCATGGAATACTACTCAGCCATAAAAAGGAACAAAATAATGGCATTTGCAGCAACCTGGATGGAACTGGAGACCATTATTCTAAGTGAAGTAACTCAGGAATGGAAAACCAAACACTGTTTGTTCTCACACACAAGTGGGAGCTAAGCTTTGAAGACACAAAGGCATAAGAATGATATAATGGACTTTGGGGACTCGAGGGAAAGGGTGGAAGGAGGTGAGGGACAAAAGACTACATACTGAGTACAGTCTATACTGCTCTGGTGATGGGTGCACCTAAATCTCAGAAATCACCACTAAAGAACTTAGTCATGTAACCAAACACCACCTGTTCCCCAAAAACCTACTGGAATAAAAAATAAAAATAGGCCGGGCGCGGTGGCTCAAGCCTGTAATCCCAGCACTTCGGGAGGCCGAGACGGGCGGATCACGAGGTCAGGAGATCGAGACCATCCTGGCT